TCGGTACTCTTTTGGGGCTTCGGGCGAAACCAATGGAAAAACCGAAATGAAATGTAAAGCAACTGGGCTTGTGATTCCCTTTAGCTACATCACTTGGACGTAACTTTCGTAAGGGCCAGAGGTCAACCAAGCCCCCCTCTTCGAAAGGTTGAGCATCCAGGTTCTACCAGCTGGGAACTCGAGCGAGTGGCTCTATTTTGCAACCTGCTTGGGCATAGGTGTCCTTTTTGGGGCAAATCGATGAGTTTCCCTGGTAGATGATCAAACCACCAGGTAAACCAGGAATCGCCATCTATTTTTCGACCAAAACAACCAAAAAGGACACCTATGTGCTTGGGTCTCCCAAAAGAGGGGCACTGGCGCAAGAGCCCAAAAGAAAAAGACGGCGCGAGACGGCGCGAGACCGCGCTCGGCGCTGGGAGAAAAAAGAAAAAAACACTCGAGAAGCGGAAGCCATCTGCGTTTTTTTTTGAGTTGGGTGTGGGTCAAAAAAAAGACCGCCAAAAAACCACAGGTTTGAGCCCTTGATTCCATTTACCAGGGCAAGCCATTTTGGGGTTACCCCATTTTTGAGCCACAGCCAGTTCTCCGGACATCAAATCGCGCCGCCGACCACGCCTTGAGGAGGATCGCCTCTTTGTCTTTGGCCGCCGAGGCAAGGGCCTCGCGAACAGCATCGATCGTCGAAATAGCCAACAAGAGGGACCCCCAAAACGGCGGTTTTCCGTGTGATTTCTCCCCTGGCTGAGAAGGGCACCCTGAGAAAACGCGGGAGCACACACCATATTTAGAGGTACATCTCTTCCAGTAAAACTCGGCAACCTCAAGCAAGTGGAAAAATAACAGGCGTAAGCCTTTGCTCTGCAAAAACCCCGGCTGAGTTAAACTTGTCTGGCGAGGCTGTCACGGGGAACCGTCAAAACGGGCGGGTTCCCTCTAATTCCCCTTTAGCACCGTCAAAATTCACAGACCCACATGTGCGCTCTCCCATTGGCTTCTGGCCGTCTTCCCACTGAGAAACCCCGCGCATCGTTTCCTGGAATCGAACCTGGTTCCCCAAAAGGCCGGAACGGCCACTCACTTCCTGACTGCATTGGGAGAAATCGTAGCCACTAAAATTGTATTCGCAGCTTTCTCACCAACCCATGTTGTCCCACTCGAGTACATGCGTACCAACCACCCCTCCGCGGCATTGGCGGTGGGCTTGCCAACCGGGCTTTCTCGCAACACCCAAAATGGGTAGCTTGCCCTTTAAACCAACCCAACTTCAACCTTCGAACCCAAAAACTTCAAACTTCAAACCCGAAAATGAAACTCAAATCGAATCGTGGTTCATCACCTGGGTCAGGGGAAACAAATCACGTGGTCGCACATATTCTCCAAGCCAAAAAGGGTTACGCCGCACAAACACAGAAACCACCAAAGCGCTTTCACCGAAACAGCAACCCCCAGGCGCCATGCTAGCGGGAGGGTGCAAGTACAAAAAAAGAAACTCACCGGAGTCAAAGAAGGAAAGAAAAGAAAGACGCAACTCCCAGAGTGGGCAGTATGTTGTTTCTTCTAGCGTGCCTTTCAAACGAGCCCCCCACCCCCCCACCCCTTTTTTCGGGGGGGAAAAAAACGCCTCGTCCCTCTCGTCCAGCATCTTAGTGACCTTCTGGTCGAACTCGGACTCGTACTGCCGCAGAGCTGCAAGCTGAACCTGGCGCCAGCGGGCGAAACATGAACCGCGCACAAAATCACGAAGGCTTCCCCAAAAAGGAAGCATGGGAACATGTTGGGTGGGCTGAAGGGCTTCACCCCTTCTTCTTTTTCTCGCGGGGAAGCTGCGGTTGGCTGTTTCTATGTCCTCCCCAAAACCAGAATTGACGACCAAGAAAAGTTGGCTGTTGCCACCAACGAGCAGCCCAGCGCGCGGAACCCAGCCCCGGACCCCTCCGTTTGAACGCTCCTCAGCTCCTCTTCTAAGCGCTGCCCCAAGCTAATTTCAGAGTCGCCTATCTGGGCCTATCCACCAAATCCCTAGCTCTCAGCGCTGAGGGGAAAAAAAACGTCGCCATATTTTGGGGTGCTTTGGATGGGTTAAACTGCCGTCTCCAGAGGGTGCGACGCTTCTTGACGCTTCGTGATGGATACCACCCCCTGACATCTTACAAACCAAGCCAAACCTCCAGGGCCGGGGTCCCCGGACCACCCCGGAGCCTATCTGGGCTGAGACCCCAGAGCTTTCAGCTGTTGGGGAAAAAAAGGAAGAAACCATAAAAAGAAAAAACCAACCTCTTCCCCCCCCCCCCAAGAAAGAAAATGAGCTCAGGTGATATCCCCAACAGCATGCGGTGCTCTTTTTGGTGCTCACACCACCCGCAGCCCTCGCAGAACTCGTGAAACCCTCGTGGACCCTGATAAAAACCCTGGTGGAACCCTGATAGAACCCTGGTGGAACCGTGGTGGAACCCTGGTGGAACCCTGGTGGAACCCTCGTGGAACCTTACCTACCCCGAAGCCTATCTGGGCTGAGACCCCAAAGCTTTCAGCTGTTGGGGAAAAACATCCGCCCCTCCCTCCCCCCCAAAAACAAAAAAAAACAAAAAGGAAAGCAGAAAGAAGCCATTCTCCGCCTCCATCTCGTCCACCCGGCGCTGCATGTGTCCGTTCAGCGCCTCAGCCTCTCGGGCGTCCCGGTCCGCCTCATCCAGCGCGGCCCGCAGCTCTTCCTCGGCTCGGCCCGGCCCGCCGCGGCCAGGACAGCGGTGCGGGGCGGAGGGCGCGCGGCGGAAAATTAGGACCCCTGCGGCATGTCTGTTTGGAGCAGGGCTGTGGGAAATGGAATCCACTTCTGTACAACAAAAAGGGCATAACCCCAAAGACTAACCCCCCATCTTGTATCACAGAAGTGGGGAAAAAACCCCTTGGTCCCACAACCCTGTTTTGGAGGGACTGCCTTTTGGCTTGCTTTTTAAAGGGAAACCCATAGAAAAGCCACTGGCTCGAAGGGTTTTAGTGCAAAACAAGGCCCAGTGGACATATGGCCATGGGTCAAAATCCAAACCGTACCCCCAATGAACATCCCAATCCAACCACTAAAATAGGTCCTAAAATGGGTGGTGCACCATTTTAAATGGTACCATTGGTTTTGACCCACAGCCATATGGCTTGCCTGGTTGGTGGAAAACACAAGGGGACCCCCAAAAAAAGGCAAATAAAAAAATTTAACGGGGAACTAGTTCTGGGGAAGAAATGAGTCACAATCAAAACCCACCAGAAAACCGCAGGTTTTAGTGCCTGGCGTCCATTCACCAGGGTTGCACTTTGGGTACCGATTTTTGACCAGCCAAAGGAGTCATCATCGAAACCCAAGGGTGCAAATCCCAAACCAATCCAACCACCAAGGGTTGGCCTGACCATTTTAGTCATCAAAACCCGGGTATTAACATAATTTTCCGATCCCCTAAAGGTGAATAACCTTTAGTGGGTTAAACGGAAAATCCAATCACTGAATACTAAAAGGTTTAAATACCCAAGGGGATGTATTAAAATGGTCGTAATCCCAGAACCATGCTTCAAGAATTGAGGCGGAAATGTCCGCAGCGACTTTTTTGGCAAGGGGACTGTCCCTATTCATCTACCCGAATCCGTTTTGAGCACGTGGCTCAAATGGGGGTGTCGATTAAGGGAGGGGTCCCTGGCACCTCTCCACCTTGGAGACCTGTCAACCGAAATCAAGATCAAGATTCCGGGCTGTCCGCTTTCAGATCCCCCGCCAAAAGTGTTTAAGTTGTGGGTTGAATGGAAACCCCTGTTTTTAACATGTCCGCTCAATGGAAATCCGACCACCAAACCAACTAAACACTAAAAAACCAAAAAGCTAGGGGGATGGCTGGGAATTAGCAAGAACATGGGCGTGCCGTTTTTGAACCTGGGACCCCTACTCCCTGGGACCCCTCCACTCCCTCGCAAATTGAAGGCATGCGGAGAAGAAACAAAAAAGGACACGGCCGGGTGTGGCCGGGTCCTTGATTTTTTGGAGCCGGGCCCGGGCCTTTAGTCAAAAAGCGGTTTGGATACGGCAAATATGCAGTGGATCCACAAAAACCGCATCCAAAGCCGTGTCCTGCATCGAAAACGCGGCTTCATCTCAAGGCCGAAAGCGTCATGGTGCAAACATCATGAATCTTGAAATATAGGGGCAGCTCCTGCTAGGAAGAATTTAGGGACACCCCAAAGTAAGTCCTACAGGTAGTAGTAGTTGGTTTCTTTTACCGCACATCGGCTTGACCCACCCGAAATCCCCGCCCAACCCTCTGGTTGTTACGTGGCACAGACCTGAAGAAAACGGATTGTTTGATAAACGAATCATCGGTCGATCGCAAGCCACGCTTGTTGCGAGACCATGCAAATCCGAAGGAAAAAAACAGCAGGGCTGTGTTCGAACTCAGGAAACATGATTTGCAAAGACACCCCATGGAATCGCCCTGGCACAAGCGGAATGTGTTCTTACCGGCGGGTAGCCTAGCAACTGTTCACCAACGGCCTCTCGCTCTTTTTTAGGTTATGTCATGTCCATAGAGGGCATGGCAAATATTGACCGTGAGAGACACACTTAAACTCCAGATGGAGGGTGCTAATCCTTCGAGTACAACTGGCAAGTTTCGGCTTGGATAAGGTTCTTCATGCATAAGTTTCGGCTCGCAATGCACTCGGCTTCCCTCTAGCAGCGAACACGTTACCCGAAAGAACAAGAAGCACAAACAGCGCCGCAACCAAGGGGGCCAAAAGGACTTTCAGAATCACTTGCAGGTACAGGAGTTTGCGTCCAAACTCCCTTCCGGCTCATTCTCACAGCTTCGTTGGCACGGCTAGAGAATGAGCTGCCGTGCCCCCTGCAGCTGTCTGGTGGCTGGGTAATCTGCCACTCCGCACACACACGCCCCTCAGTGAGGGGCGAAGATCTTTTGTTCCTGTCGGAAGATCACGCAATCGGCTCATCAATGCTAACGTCTACCAAAATATCCACAGCGGCGAGGAGAGCGCGAAGCTGCACGAAGCCGCTCAGAAGACGGGGACGAAAGATCTCCAAGATGAGCATGACGGGTGGTGCCATAGAAGACCGGAGGAAGGTGCAAATCAGTCGGGCGATCACCGTCAGAAATAGGTGGGGCATAGGTGAACATCTCCTCGACCCGGATGAAGTCCGAATTCTGCACGTCAACAAGTGATTGATCCTGAGCTTGATGAGTGGAGAAGGACTCAAAGCGAGAAAGAATGCGTTGGTAACCTTGATGTTGCCAGTCGCGAACTGTCCATGCCTGACTGCGCTCACCAGTCCCATCAATTGGATCAGTTACCCGCTTCCACTCCCGAAACGAGTTGTCTGGTAGGTCAGGTACTGCTTCATCTGGGCGCCACAGCTGAGCTGGTCCTGGAGTATAGATCCGCACCCACTCCTGACCCTGCCAGACTGAATATTCGAGCCATGGGTGCTGCTCATCGATTCGGCCCAACGACTGAGTTGCATCCTCGATGTCCATGCCGAAGTGAAAGACAAGGCGTACCGCAGGTTCCGATCCAGCTAGCAAAGAAACAGTCACCATGCACAACCATGCACAACCAGACAATACACAAGAAAGCAAGAGCAAGAGAAAGCACCCTTTTTGTACCATGATCAAGACGCATCAGTCTATTCATCGTTTAGCTCGAAGATAGGCTTCTCCTTGTTGTTGGAGCTGCATGGTTGGGTCGGGGGGAGATATGGATCAGCGACCCCAATAGATTCAGGTGGTTCAACTCCACGAGAAGCACGTACTGGTTGGTGCTGATGGGACGCCTGCCGCGCGCGATCCGACAGTTGCTGACAGATCCCATCTTGAAGACGAGTGAGATCCTCAGTAGAGAAAGCCGAAGCATCCGATGATCTAAGAATCGCATTCAACACTTGCGGTGACATACACAAAGCCGAAGATTGCGTGGCCACGCTATGTTGATCTGGAGAAGACATCGAAGTGAAGCCGTGATCAGCTTCAGGGGCTGCAACACGCCGGTAGCCCTCGGTGGCCCAGTCCCTTTTGTACCAAATGCTCTTGGTGGGCTCGCTGTGCACTCCCGCGAACTGGGCTGCTGCCTTGACTGCCGCGTCATGAGACTGCAGGCTGCCTCTGCAGTAAAAACCCATCGGAGGCAGCCACACTTCGTTCCAGCTCGTGTAGCGCAATTGGGGACAGGCTGCATCTGCCATTTCGAAGGTCTGACAAGCTCCTCATCTCGCAGAATGTTGATGGCAGCATGCATATTGGTATTGTGGGCCCAGAAAAACGGCGAGTTCGACTGAGTGCGATGCTTATCAGGTAGCAATCGACGTGGCTCGAACGAGAAGAGGATCCCGAAGAGGTTCTTCCTGGCGTTCTTCTTGTCGGGCAGGAACTGGTGATACGTCCGTTTGGTCTTGCGAATGTAGGGCCAGCCCTCTTCGCAAATGCCAAGCTGAACAATGAGTTGTGAAGGAAGGGAGTCCGGGGAGATCTTGAATTGACTGGAAAGCTCCCTGACTACATGCTCCGTCCAGGGGCCTGGGTTGCCATGGGGCAATGGAGAAAATGGCAGTTATGAGGCTCGGGCATGAGGCTCCTGTAGACCGTCTCCCAAGATTTGTCAGGCTCAGGAAACTCTAAGGTGGCAATGCAGGGCCACGTTTAGTAAAGAACATCATCAATCCGGATGGCAATTTCCTCAATCCGACAGCCAGTGCGGAGCGTGAAACGATGGCTGCCCAAGGAAGGGAGATGAAGCAACTCAATCAGGTTCACGGGTACCCTGGCGGCAGTGACGGCGATCGAGGTCTCCTCTGATCATCATGAGCGCGACGACCATCGCGGGTCCATTCTCCCCAGTCCTCTTCATCCTCAGACATCCCTTGTGGTCCCGGACCCGGGAACGACGGGATACAGGAGAGCGGACGCCTCCCGATTGCATGATGGCGCACCGCTCTGACGTTGGTCGATGAGCTAAGTGCTTGAACACCACGTGAAGAGCTGTGCGCCTGCACATTGTGCTGATGTACAAGACCGTGCGTCTGGACAAAGAGCTGCATCTCATTGCCATTGATGAAGTTTGGAAGGTGATCCAGCGTCACTTGGCTTGTGGTCTGGACCGTGCCGTCTGGACGTAGTAGGCTACTAACAACATACTCCGCCATGCTCAAGTGAGGGGCGCCGCCATGCAAGAGGCCAACACATCCGAGCCGGCTGCACGCAGATACATGAAGGACACATCAAAACGCACCGACAAGCAATCGCAAGGAAACACCACAAGCAACACAGCAACAAGGCAGCGTGCAGATTTTGTCACGAGTCGTCGCCGAACATCACGAAGGAGATGCGGATCGAAACCTTTGGCTTCATAAAGGCGTTTGAGAGCGTCAAGTCCAAGTTGTTGCTGAACCGCAGGTTGAGCACCACGTACAATGAGCCACGAGCGGGATGACCACGAAGAGTAAGTAAACATCTGATCATTGGCACTCCGGATCCCTTTGATCTGAGAAGGATGATCAGGTAGTTGTGGTGTAATAGTCCTGGACGATGAATCACATAGGTAGCCCAGCACTTTGTCATCATTCTGAAACTCAAGCATCACTGGTGGTCGATAAAATTCCAGGGAAAGAAAATTCATGAGAACCGGTGATTGCGGGGCAGAATCACGTAGCAGGATGAAGCGATTGTCGACATAGCGCTCGTGCCAGCTCACCCCGACATCGGGCATGCGAAATCGTAGAGAGCACATTGTTTGGTGCCAGAAGAAGTCCTCAACCGTGGCAACCAGATTGCAGAGTGGGGGTGCTGCAGGTGATCCCATAGCGACTCCACGTTCTTGCCGGAACAAATAGCCATTGATCTCGAAGTGACTGTTATCAATGACAAAGTCAAGAAGGCATCGAAGATCTTGTTCACGGAAGGTTCGAGGAACCTGAGTTTGACGGCGCCATTTTCCTTTGAACATGCGGCGTCGATGATCTGACTTCAATTCGTACACCGACCATTGTAAAGTTCGGCGGAGACCAACTACTTGATCATAGCGATGTAGAAGCACCTGTAGTGCCTGATGGAAACGCCCCGTGGGGATGGATGTGAAGAAACCGGAAAGGTCCTGGGACACCAGGTGGATGTACTCGGCGGGATCTGCCTGTGACAGCGCATCCCAAAGCTGTTGGACAAGCTCCTGAACCGAAAGCTGACCTGGTATGTCTGGAAAGGTGACTTTGGTAAGCTCAAATATGAGGGCGCCGAAGACCGTGAGGAAGGGTGCTGCCCACGTGCGAAAGAAAGAAATGATCGGTCTTGCTTTCTGCCAGTCCTTGGTCGGTTTGGAAAGGATGCGGGCTGTGGGCAACGGCGCCTGGAGTCGAAGTCCCCACGCGTAACGCTGATGTAGGAGAGGAGAGGTATCGTAGTGACCGCTTCTGAGCGAAAAGATGCTGCAGACTCACGACACAGCGAAAAGACTTCTCCCGAGCAAAAGGTCTTGTGCATCAGTATGGCAAACAACGAAGGACAAATCACATGTGCACGAGAGGGAAAATGATCCGCTGGGATTACAACCCACGAGGACAGAGAAACCACGGTACGTTGTAGTGATTCGGATGTCCAGTGAGCGTGGTCATGAAGGTTGGAGCGATGTGCATCAATCAACTGAGTCAGAACAGGACGTAGATCAGTGAGGAGACTAGATCCATGTACATGCCACCGACGAGCTAGTTTGCGAAGCTGTGTGGTAAAACGCTGATGTAGCATGTCAACATCGCCAAAATACTGATCCTTCATGGACGCGGTCATGATGTCAATGTCGATGTCTGCATTGATGCGTGAGAACTCATCTACCATTACGACATGTTCATGTGCACGATGTAGGAGGTGGTCATCAATGTCTGAACAGCGACACGGGAAAGACATGTCAGGAGTCCACCTGCGTTGCCATGTGCGGTAGTTGTAGATCCTGTCCCCCAAGGTAGCACTGCGAGTTTCCACCACACGGATCTTTGGAAGAAATAAGGAGGGAAACAAGTCACGATGCGAAGCAACCCAACGTTGCAACCATGTGCCAAGCTGAGCTTTCCAATTCGGTACATGTAGAGGTGGGAGAAGTAGTTGTGTCAAAGTGCTTGGTGACTGAAGCTGTCGTTTGTGCATAACCTGGGCGAGGAGCTTCTGTGCCTTAGAACGAAAAGGCTCGTTGACGAAGACGGAGAGTCGTAGGAAGTAGTAGAGCTGAGTAGGTGGAAAAGCCGCCGACAGCAAGTCACGCATAGCCTGGAACGACGCACCTGTGTTGGATCCCAGCTGATAAAGAGTGGAGTAATGTGCTTGAATGTCATCCAACATTTCAGGTCGTAATTGCCGTTGAAGATCCGGATGTAGTCGTCGTCGGAAGCGTTTGTGTAGCGAGAGTGAGGTGGGCGATGACAACGAATGACGCCGAAAGTCAACCAGATGCTCACGGAAGCCAATTTTCCGAAGAAGTCTATGTACCCAGGGAGCATTCAAATGCGGACGTAGCAAGTATTGCCACTTGCTTTCCTGGACCCAAACCGAGGAAATGGGAAGTTTGATCTCAACCGGAATGGCACAGAAAAGCCAGTAAGTGTTGGATCGCTTCCAGTAATGAAGTGCAGGTTCAAAGAAGGCATGGCGTCCCCGAAGCAGTTGCAGAAATTTGCGACTGCGCGAGTGTTCTCGTCGAAGAACATCCTGATCAGTTGCTCCAACGTAGTATGGACTGTGCCATGGAGAAAGTCTGATGTAGACGCATGGCTGTTGATGGTGACCTGGATCCTGAATGTGAATGAAGTCATAGAGGTCCGGGAAACGTGTCCGTAGTGATCGCAGGTGTCTTGTATCCGCAAAAGTGGAGTGCATGATTTCACACAACAGTGACGTCTTGTAGAAGTGAAGAACCTCGAAGAACGGCGGGACATACCCATAGTCTTGAGAAACGAGACGCTGCAAAAAACTGATCAATAGATAGGCAGTGCACCGGCACCTGTGAAGTTCATACCTGTTGGCCACAGTGTGGTAAGACTGCGACATGGAGTGAATCGGGGTCTGAAGTGCGATCCGAACCACAACTAGCACTTCCAGGATAAGGCCCAGCCAAGGTAGTCGCTCAACTGACTCATATTCATCTATTGGTATCGACGGTGGTGGAAGTCCAGGAAAGCAGCATTGCCAGCACGTGGAGAACATTGTCAACGAGCGCAGAAAAGTATCTAAGGAATGCCATTGTGCAACATCATCATAGATTCCACAGCGGCGAAGCTCAGCCAACATGGTGAACATGCAACCAATGAAATCTACAATGTGGCGGCGACAGGAATGCAAGCGTCAATGAGCACCAAGCAATTCACAACGCAAGCAAAGACACGCACATGATCAAACAAGTGCAGAGTAAGAAGAGGACGGACAAGTTTTGAACCGTTCATCAATCATGACACAACTGCCACTCCGGGCTCATAAGTGAACGAAGGTAACTGCTCACCCTGTGAGTAAGCGGGCAGTCACGATGAGGCGACACAACGCCTTGTCAGTGAGCTTGGTGAGGTAGCCAGGCTCCAGTCCCCACAACGCCGCCATCGCCCCAAACGTAGGTGCGTCTTTTTTTGGGATGCGTTGACGCGCCTGAAAGAGCTGGGTCGACATGGATTCCAAGGACTTATTGCCGTTGAGACGGGATGGGTGATTGGCCCACTTGATCAATGACGCCAAAGTAGTGGTAGTGGGCGATTGCTTGAGATACAGGCGTGGTTGATCACTAGTCCATGTGTAGTACTTCATGACGTCCTCTGGCGTGCTGCGCATGGTGAGCAACTGTGACGCCGCCGGCTTGGAAGACGGTGAAGAAAGTCCGTGATTCTGGGTTGCACTGCGCCATCAAACGACTTGCCATCCAGGGCCGCTGCACTGACCGTAGGTAGGGAGCTGGTCGGTGACGAAGATTGTGTGTGATTGGTCGGTGGTGGTGTAACCAACTCGAGATCCTTCTGGGTTGGCACCGTAGGGGAAGTCGAAGCGCGTAGCGATGCCGAATACTGAGCCTGGAGCAACTCATGAGCTCGATTTAGATCATTGAACTTCTTGACCATGTCTTCCGCTTGGGTAGAGGGCGTGAGAGTCGCGTGGTGCTGCTGAAGAAACTGAAGCACCAAGTTGGCCACATGGTCATGAACTCTGATACGCTGGTTGAAGTCGTCAAGGTTGAGCCCCAGTGAGCTGGCAAGGTCCTTTTCCAAAGTAAGCAGGTTGATCGACTGTGATCGTCGTAGTAGTTTGGAACAGGTACTCCAAAGTAGGGCCTCGGTGCGAGTGCGAAAGCCTTCCCACGTCACGAATCTGCCGTGAGCAAATGGTCGGAGTAGCCAGTTAGTGATGCCCCCGTGAATGACCTGAACCAGGCGAACGTCTCGGATGTCCATGCCGGACATGTCACGTAGGGTGTTGCGCGGGGTGTTGGCAACCGTCATGGGCAGGCTGAAGTTGTAGAGCTGGTTGATGTCTAGCATGCCGTCTCCAGGTGTCCAGTCACCCGGTGGTGTAAGCCATGGTTTCTGAGGTCGGACTGGTAGCGCAGCTGGGCGCCCAGGCGATGGTGAAGCTTGGGAAGAAGTGACCGGTGGTGGCATCACGGGCGTCATGAACTTCGCTGGCGTGGGCTATGGAGGAACCGGCATCATGTAGTTGACCGGCGAATGATGGAACTGCTGCGTGGGGTTTGGGATCGTTTGATAATTGCCTGGCATCACCGGAAAATTGTTGGAGTTGTAGCCCGAATTGTGTTGCCAGGATACCAAGTTGTTCCAATCCATGACCTCCGAGACCTGATTGTCATTGTGTACGTCGGCGTGCTTTGCGAGATTGAGGGGACGGACTCCGGTCCCGTCTGCGCCGAGTTCTGGATCTGTCACGATCATCCCGTCGAGACATGGTGGCACAACAAACTCAAAACCGCGACACCTCAATCTTGAGAGAATCGAATCCGACAAGATGCAAGTCAACGCAAGTTCAAGCCAAGCACAGATCAACACGCGGTCATGCAGCCAACAGCAGCAATTGTGAGACTTAGCTATGATCTGACGGCTGTCTTCCCTTTAGTGAAACCTCGTTCCTGGTTAAATGTGAAATTCCGCTGATCTATGATAAGCACGTTGAGGTCAAATTTTCCGACAGAGTCGGCCCGGGGTCACACGATGGGTACACCCGAGGATTCCCCACGAATGGGGTGTACACACTTAAACTCCAGATGGAGGGTGCTAATCTTTCGAGTACAACTGTGAGTTTCGGCTTGGATGAGTTCTTCGATAAGTTTCGGCTCGCAATGCACTCGGCTTCCCTCTAGCAGCGAACACGTTACCCGAAAGAACAAGAAGCACAAACAGCGCCGCAACCAAGGGGGCCAAAAGGACTTTCAGAATCACTTGCAGGTACAGGAGTTTGCGTCCAAACTCCCTTCCGGCTCATTCTCACAGCTTCGTTGGCACGGCTAGAGAATGAGCTGCCGTGCCCCCTGCAGCTGTCTGGTGGCAGGGTAATCTGCCACTCCGCACACACACACACACATCCCCCACATACAAGGTTCCCATTTTTTTTTGAGTGCTCAAAATGGAACATGGCCCCGGCCAACCTTCGACATTTTTACGAACCAAAAAGCCCGAGCCGCGTTTTGGTCCTGGAGCCGCCGGCTCTCGGCCTCCGCGGCTCTCTGCGCCTCCTGGCTCTTGCGCAGATCCAGGCGCAAGCGCTCCTCGGGCCTCGCAGGAAAAACCACTCCCCAGCCATAGGTGTCCTTTTAGGTGGGAGATCGATCAGTTTCCCCGGTAGATGATTAAGCCACCGGGCAAACCAGGAATCCCCATCTAATGTTCGACCAACACAACCAAAAGGGCACCTACGCTCCCAGAGGAAAGAAAAAAGGTGGGAAAAAACAAAACCTGAAACGAGGTGCGGGGATTTGGCGCACGTCTTTGGGAGTTTGCTTTTTTTGGGGGTGGTTCAAAGGCAAGAGACCAAAAAGCGGGACATTTCGGCGGGTCCAAATCCTTGCACACAACATAACCTATACCTAGGTCCTCCAGTAGAGAGGCCAGAATAAGGGTACCAACTTTTTTCTGTGATCTATTTTAGTAGGGGAACCCGGAACCCTCCCCCCAGAAAAGAAACGGTAAAAGGGCACTACTGCAAAAACCTAGGCTTTTTCCCCAAAGTGAGGTGAACACTTATGGCTTCCACCTCCTTAACCAGACCGGAGCCGCAGGGTTGCGGCTTCTTCGTCCAAGCGGCGTGGCTTCCGCCATTCCCGGGGACTCGCAGAAGAGCTCCGGGCTCAGAGTCCAAGCGGCGAGCGGGAGTACAACCCCCGAGGCTCCGATCCGCACGCTCTCTGCCGTGAGATGTTTTTTGGGTGTTGACTCGTTCGGAACCGAAAAGAAGCAGTGCCGAGTTCAGCTTGTGACTCTCAGTGGTTCCTTTCTGTTTGGGGGGGGGGGGGGGGAAAAAGCAAAAAAACACGAGGAGCTCTTTCTTCACATTCGTTCTCTCCTGGGCATTGGATGCGACCCACCTGAATCTTGGGTCTATATCGCCAAGCTTGTTTCATGCCCGCCGATGCCTTTGAAGCTGCCTGTAAGCCAAGAGAATTCGGACGAGCCACAGAATCAGCGGTCAAACTCCCGTCACCCCAAACAAACGCTGGCTTTTCTGGGTGCGGATTGATTTCGGGATGTCTTTTCTCTTCTTTTGTTTTTGCTTTTTTCCCCGTTTTTCTTTTGGCTTCCCTTTAAACCAACCTCGGCTCCGGGTTTCGGGTGCCCAGAAATGAACTCTTCGGAGACATCGGGGCTCCGAAATGGCAGCGGAGCCTTCGGCCCTGGGTCTTGGCAGTAGGGAGGTGTACCCTGAACCCGTGGAACCGCGATGGGATGGGTCGAGGACGGAATCCTGCGGAACGACTGCTCTTAGCATGAGGCGAGTGGAAGGTGGGGTTTGGGTTGTTCTCCCTCGGTCGCTACCTGGTGTTGTTGCTTTTTGCCCATGGGCGCAAACAGAGGGATGAAGAGGCACAAAGTCAACCACATGCTGACACACCCGGCCAAGAAGCCTCGCAACAATTCTGGGGTCTAATGAGTTGGGAGATCCCGGGCGCTCTAGGCATGACCTTCTGAATTCCCAAACATACAATGTGTTGCAGAGAAACCGCGTTTTGGGACACGCAAAAGGCACAAGGCCACACAGATTTCTGCGGGTTTTCTACGGTTCACTTGGTGAGAAACAGACCATATGGCGGAAATAATCAACTCCTGTCCAAGAAATTGCAAAATGTGTCGCGCATGACCAAGATGCCCAAGCTCCTCAGTTCCCCGTCTTGCCCCTTGAAAAAAACAACTATCCTTTTGGAGAAGACGGCACTGGTCAATGAGAGCCAAAGTGAACCCAGCGCGGATGGACAGAATCCAGCACCAGTTCATAGGTGGCTCGTCCCATGATTCAGGCCTCATGCATTCAAGCTGGCGCAAACTGGATTTCGTCCATCCATGGTTTTCGAAAAACCGCATCCACGGCCCATCCCACTGGGAAGCAACATGTGAAGCTGCACCAGCCGGAAGCCCCAATCTCGCCTCAGCTAAACTTCTTCGATTGGTTTCCACAAGCCACCCACATATGTTTTTCTTTTTTTTTCTCCGGGCAACAACAAAACCACTAGTGGTAGGCTGCAATTGACTGGTGGCGTCCATTAAAACGATCGCCACTTGAGGTTCCAAAAAGGGACCAGCTCAGAAACCCACTAGAGCCACCAGCGCCACCAGGGCGCCCAGGTTGGAGCCAGAAACCGCATCTCTGTGGTCTAGGAGAGCCCTCCATGGCGGCGAAAACGGGGTTTGAGGAAATAATGAGAACAACAGCCAACGGGGACCGCCCAAAAAGAAAACAGACCCGAACGGACCCGAGCGGTTTCCTAGATCATCCGCAATAAGGGGCTGCAAGGGACACATGGTGTGAGGATTGAGGATTGATTTTGGTTCCTTAGACAGTGTTGCTTGGAAGACCAGATCGGAACAAGGGTAGAAAAGGGAAGCCAACAAAAAGCCCTTTGCCAATGTTTTACCCTTGTAGACGTATAACCATGGTTATAGCAATAACAACCTGCTCGTCAGGTTGCTGAACATGCACAGGAGTCCTTTTTACGTACCTGTTGAACGCCCCGCCCAATTAAACTTTCTCCCCCTTGGCAAAGCAAACACATACTTGCCTGCAACAGAAACACCAAAGGCAGCAATACCGTTGTTCTACCCCTCGTGGTTTAGTCGTTGTTTCAGGGGGGGTGGAGCAGCGTTGTGTCACGCTGATTCAAAACCAGCATGAAGTTGTACAGTTCCTTGAGCGAATTGCTGAGAATCCCGATGGTCAAAGCGCCCTATGGTCATAGGTGGTTCACCTTAAGAAGCCTTATCTTTGTTGCCTTTAAAACCCCTCTGCAAAAAGGTTTTAACTTTTTGTGGGCTTAGTGGAAAACCTTCATTTCCCACAAAGTTAAAGTCTGAAGATCCAACCCAATAGCAGTCAAGTGATACTGGTTGTCAAAGACCCCAGGGCTCACCGGACGGGACCCCATTCTCAATCAAGAGGCCCCCATTCGTCCACCAGGCTCTCCTCAATCTCCATGACCAAGGTGGACCTCAATCCAAAATGTGAATTCGCTCCGCGAATTTTTGGGGAACTTCTCAAGCCGTGGGGTTCCTGGCTTGCGGTTGAATGCGAAATCGGTAGGGAAGGTGGTTGAATGAACCCAGGCTTTGTTTTTCTGAAAGAAAACCAGCAGTCGCATGGTTTGTTAGGGTCATTCCATTTCTGATTTCCTGCTGAGCACCTTCGAGCTGGTTCTTGGTGAGTCCCCCATCTCAACGAAAACTCGCCATAGGCTAATGTTGACCAAAGTATCAAAGACGTTGGGTCTCAAGTAGACCATAGACTACTGGAAACTACTGGAGACTACGGGAAACACCTGAATACTGCAAGAATGAGATTGGCCGCTTTAAAGCCAACTTTTTAGTCATGATAGGAGAAGACTACTAGGATGTATTGAGCAATCTTTAGATGATTATTGGCCACGGTTCAACTTTTGGAGTGAGGCTGGAGCTTGGACTTCTGCAACACACATGGGAGTGCACAGGCCCCTGTGAAAAAAACAATGTCCCTTTTGCAGAGGGGGTTTGGAACACTTCCATGTTTGTTGGTGGGAGGGTAAAATTTGTACGTGTTGTCCTCTTTTAGGGGATCCCCCCAAAATCGTGTTTTTTCCTCTGGGTGTTCCGTTCAAGCCACCGAAAACAGGGTACCGAGCGAGTCAAAAACCGACGGGCGAGCCGCAAATTTCAAGCGCTGAATCCTGGGCTTTGCACCAGCGCTTGTGACGACCCACGTAGCCGCAGGTGAAGGGAAACGCGAGGGCCACCGCCTAAGCGTAGGGCGAATCCAGGGCTCCTGCTTCATGCTTCACGGAAGGGCTTCATGCTTGGAGGTTTGGTGGTTTGGTGGCTAGGCTCTGGTCTCCCATCTTCCCCTCTCTCAGAACCAAGCACCCCCTCAGCTCCGATCGTTTGCCAATAAAACGGTTCCAAAAAGTGCAGAAAGTCCAGCAACTCGGGTGGCTCAACCAAAAAACGAACACGTACCTTCAAGTTGTTGTACCCCCGCCATCCCCTCCCGACGCACGTTGGGGCACCCTCCCGGTCGTGCAGCTTGAGGGACAAGTCCGGCGAAAGTTTTCCGATTTCGGGGAGTCAAACCGTGGGCAGCTGACACAATGGCTGAGATCAATAACTTGACATGGGCCAGCCCCATGGAAAGGTTCTGACTCCATGAACCTTCTGATCAAAGGGTTCTGGTCGCACCTAAAATGTTAAGAATCCTTAGATTGCGCCAACGTTTCAATTGCGACTGATCTGAATTTCCAAGTTTGGAAGATCAGCCCTTCTGCAATAGCAAAGCCATGATCACTTTCAGGGGGATCCACTCACAAAAAGATGGCCATTCCTCAAACCCAAATCGCCATGCAATGTTGGCCTGTCAATTGACCAAAAAAAGGTTCTCACTAGCGCAGAAACCCTCTGGCGCTGGCCGCTTTTTGCATGACCCTCCTCTCTCAAACTTGGGAGTGCAGCCACACAACGGGAAACTTGCTGTGATAGCCACCTTCCCCTTGCAAACCAATGGATACTGGCTTCTTCTGTTTTTGGCTGCCGGGAACAACTGGAAACGCGCTTGACTCTAGGGGTTGATTCCCCATTCTTTTCAACCATCGTTCTTTTCAAAAACCGGCTGTTTCCCCAGGGTTGTTGATGGTTTTCTGAAAAGAAGGATCCCTGGAAAAGAATGGAAAAGGTACCCCTAGATTGACCGCAGCACGCCTCTCCCCCTGTGCGCCGGACCATAGCGCTCCAGCAGAGCGCCGCCTCTTGGCGCGACATTCCCTGGCGAGGGTTTGCAAGGGTTTGGCATGTAGGCGTGCTCAAATTGATGTACCAAAATGGCACCTTGGTAAATGGAGCCATGACTAAAACCTGCGTAACCCTAACTCTTTAATTTTGAAACAAACTCACCAATACTTCACCAAGTCTACACATGTGGGCAAGCTAAAGCAAGACGAAGCCCATGCAAAACAGCCCGAAACAAATGAGTCTCACACTGTAATGGCGGGTTTCTTCATGTCGGTCTCAAATCGGGCAACTAACCTGCTCAGACATGTGGAGTCCTCATCGGATTTGCTTTTTTCCATCCACACAATCGGGTTTCTTAGCTTCCTCAAGTCTGGGGGAGCACCCAGGTATGGAATCCTCCAAGCAAAACATCACAGGTAACTACAAAGTCAGTTAAACATTTCCGGCAAGCAAAGCTTGAAGCCTGCCGGCGAGACTCGCCTCCTTCATAAGCCGGTCCTTTTCGAATAGATGAATTCCTCTAAACCAAACTGAAGCCTGCGTGCTCCGCGATCCATCTTACCACGCCGACTGGTTCAAAGGACACACATCCGCAAACTGTTCTCTAATTCCAAAAGCTGAACTAAGAGTTGGATCCCCAAGTAAAGGATCTTTATCATGGTGAGCTCGGGAAATACCCCCAGGCGAGGCCCCCCCCAACAAAACAAGCAGAGCCATGAGCATTTTCCGACCCCTCCACGTGAGGCCTGGCGGAAGACGTTGCTCATCCCAACCTCAAAAGCGTCTCCCACACATTTTTTGCCGTGGCTATCCAACCTGATTAGGGCCCAAGAAAAAGAAGCAGAGGCTCTAATGTTGACCCCGGATCTAAGTAGAACCTCAAGAACTTGGTCCCTCCAAAAATTGGTCTGAAGCCCTAACAAAGAGCACCCCCAATTAAAATCAACCAAGGGGTTATTCATCTGGGGTGAACCTTAAAATGGACAACTCCCCTGTTAATCAAGCAAAGGTTTGTGAAATCCCATTCCACATTCTTCAGGGTTCCCATTAGAACGGCAAGCGCCTGGAGCAAACAAGCTGGTGCTCAATTCGCCAAAAAAAGCGAGGACCCTGTAGTTACGACAACGGAAAAGCCGGCGGCCAGAAAGCTTCGACCCCGAAACAATCCAATCTGGCTTGTCTCTGAATAGGAAGCCCTCAAAATGAATGGCTGCCCTTGGCTGTTTCTCTGAGAGCCAACCCCGCACAAGGTACCTTTCGCGTCAAAAAGACAAAAAGACACCCAGGGCCAACGCCGGAAACGCATTGCTCTGTGCAACCCAACGCAGCTGCCCTCTGAACGTGGAAGTTGGCAGGAGACCTTCCTGTAATCTTGGTTGACGTTGGAAGGGGAGCAACAGTTTAAATTTTAGCAGGTAAGTGGGGATGTCCCATTAAACCACAATAAGCAAAAATGTAAAATGTTTCCCAACAACAATCATGTAATGGGAGTCTTCCAAAACCAGTCTTCTTATCTTTTACTGTCAGCTTGCATGGGAGGATAAACTCCCGATCCTCTTGACTTGCTGGTTCTCAGTAGAAAACAAAAGTGGTTTGGGGGAATGAACTCTTGATCCGCAAATGGCTGCCCAAATGAATGGCTCAGTTTCCAACTTCCCATCCGGCATTCCTTTCTTTTTTGGAGGGTACCCGGTGGCTAAAAAGCGACACACCCTCGAGGCAAACACAGACTCCGATTCCTTAAGCCAGGTCCTTTCGGACGTGCTCTTTCCTGGCCGAAACCAGAGAGGTGACAAAGGTTGCAGGCCTTACCACAAGCCCCACGAAACCAGGCACCATGGCCTTAAGGAACCGGTTTGGGACTGCTCAAACCGAAACCAATAAACCAATGACCGCTAGGGCCTTGGACCAGGAGTTTGGCAAACGGCCATGGGTCAAAAACCAAGACATCCCAATCCCCACTAAAATAGTTCTAAAATGGGTGGTGCACCTACCCCAAAATGGTACGATTGGTTTTGACCCACAGCCAAATGGATGTGACAAAAGCAACATGCAGATTCCGGCGACGGCCAGGCACCTTTCTCACCTTTCGGCATGTGCAGCTTGGGATCAACTTGACGAGCAAAGACATGGGCAAAGAAAACGACGTCCGAGCAAAGACATGGTGCAAATCTTAGTAGAAGACCCGAAATTAAGGACATCAGAATTCGGTGGATCCCCATTCATATCCAACCAGTTGAGTTCGGTGGTCCCCCGTTGAAATTCATATCCATGTTCTCTTATGGGCTCGGATGAAGTCAAGCAGCCTTTTGACATCAAAGGGAGTCTGCATCAGGGTTGTTGCCAGCCATGTTGGAGACACATGAACCACATATTTGTTGGGCGCCCAAAAGGACAGAGGAAGCTTGGGGGCCGTCCCCCTTGAAAGGTCACTCTGGGGTGTGCCCACTTCTACCCAAACCAGTAGTGGACCAAAAACTCCTGGTCAGCTCACATGGAAGTACTCCCCAAATCAACATGGGACCCCCAGAAATCCCCGAATAGGAGCCTTCCCCAGAAATGCTGGTTTCCGTGGCCACACGGAATTTTCCCAGGTCTCGGGAGAACAAAGTTCCCCCGAGGAGAAATCCCTGCGTGATGACTTGGGGCGGTGTTCTGTTTGAGAGGAGGTCCCAATTTTGGGGCACCCTGTGAATCCGCCTGGACACCAGGGCAAGTTCTGTCATTTTGCGAACACTTCACCTCACCGAGTGGACTGGCCCAAAACAGTCCGAGCTGACTCAAGCGGCCCCAAGAACGGTTTAAGTCCATCCCCTTGAAGTCAAAAGGCCGACATAAACTAAACCGGTTTCCCACTTCCCACTTCCCACCACCCACCACCCACCACCACCCACCACCATCCACCACCACCCACCAGCACCCCCCACCATCCACCACCACCATCCACCACCACCAGCTACCAGCATCCACCACCAGCATCCACCACCACCAGCCACCACTACCACCGCCACCACCACCGCCACCACCACCATCCACCACCACCATCCACCACCACCAGCTACCAGCATCCACCACCAGCATCCACCACCACCATCCACCACCACCAGCCACCACTACCACCGCCACCACCACCGCCACCACCACCGCCACCATCACCAGCCACCACCACCAGCCACCACCCCACCCCAGTGGGTTCCCCTGAAACTGATCACCGGAGCGCCCCCTGCACTTCGGTTCGGTGCCAGGCCACATATGCAGCGAGGCAGATGCTGGGCAGCAGCGCCAACAAGCCCACAGCAAGATACCCATGCCCCGCCATGCCATGCACCGAGAAGAGAGGTTGTCGCAGTCAGCCGTTTTGGGGCCCGCTTTGCTGGGAACATGGGAAAAACCGGGGGGGTTGGTTGGTTGGTTGGTTGGCTGGCTGGCTGGCTGGCTGGCTGGCTGGCTGGCTGGCTGGCTGGCTGGCTGGCTGGCTGGCTGGCTGGCTGGCTGGCTGGCTGGCTGGCTGGCTGGCTGGCTGGCTGGCTGGCTGGTTGGTTGGTTGGTTGGTTGGTTGGTTGACTGGCTGGCTGGGTGGGTGGGTGGTTGGAACTTGGGGTTGGTGGGCATGCGTGTTGGCAGCGACGTTTAAACCACCTAAAGGCGAAAAAGGGCTGTGGTTCCTTGTCTGGCGAAGCTCGCTTCTCTGGAAACCGAAGCTCATGTGGTGATTCCTACTTGGAGACCTAGCGAGGGGCCGATCTGGTTGTTGAACCAAGAGAATGCAGGTCTGGTTCGCTCATTTGATCAACACAATACACATTAATCATGACAAGTGCCATCTAATCTGAAATAAGGTGGTTGGGGGGCTATTCCCCACATAAACCACCGTTTGGGGTGAATTCGGTCGTTATAATTCACCCGGATCTGATGTCCAACCTGGAACAAGAAAGCAGCCTTTCGGCTCTCGAAAGATTTCAGGCATTCGAAACCTTTCGGCCTCGTCCCTCTCCCGCCGCGCTCCTGAGCCTGGATTGTCAAGTCCAACGACACCCCAAAGGCATGTTTGCTACTAAGGAACACACAGACGCGCAAAAAACAAAGCACACACGGAAACACACGGCAACACACACACACACACACACCGACACAGACACAGACACAGACACGGACACAGACACAGACACAAAGACACAAAGACACAAAGACACAAAGACACAAAGACACAAAGACACAAAGACACAAAGACACAAAGACACAAAGACACAAAGACACAAAGACACAAAGACACAAACACACAGACACACAGACACACAGACACACAGACACACAGACACACAGACACACAGACACAGAGACACAGACACAGACACAGACACAGACACAGACACAGACACAGACACAGACACAGACACAGACACAGACACACACACACACACACACACCCACACACACACACCCATCTGCGCATATTGGTTTCGATTTTCTGCTGCGCCTTCAAGGTGCAGTATGGCCTAGACAGCTTTCAACAGGTTGCTGACCATCACCTTTGCTGTGACACCAGTGCCCATCCAACTATAGACTTTACCACTCTCAAGGGGAATTCCCAGAAGTATCACAGAAAGTGCCAACTTGACACAATAAGTAACAAAAAACGGACTTGTGGCTTGCTCCCCGACGAAAGAAGAAGTGCCTACCTCCGAATCATACCAAAATCGGTCATTCCAACGACCACTTTGTCACTTTGAAGTGTGGTCTAGCGGGCCTCTTACAGGAGGATTGTGTGTCCCAATAGAGGGACCCCGAAACCGACAATAAAAAAACACAACAGCCCAGAACAGTAACAACCGAAAGCCTCGCTCTTCCACAAGCATGGACGCGGGTGCACTGCATTTTGTCCAGTGGCGAAACTGGGCATCCATTTCCCGCAGATGGGTTTGGCTCAAGATGAGGGGCCTGAGGCCCAAAACGAGTGCCTTCCTTTTGGGCTCCCTGTAAAACGACTGGGCAGATGTTCAACAAACCACACGTCCAATGAGGTGACTTGT